CGCTGTTCGCAGCCGCCAGCCTCGGTGCTTTTCCATCGACGGCCCCGGAGGCAGCGGGGAAACTTTCCTCTACACAACGCTTTCTCATTTAGCGTTCTCCGTGGGATTCCAAGTCATTAATGTCGCTTGGACGGGAATTGCAGCAAACCTCCTACTGGAGGGGGGTACTGTTACCTCAACTTTCCGTCTGAATGTTCAAGATAACAGTCAATCTTCGAATATGAAGCGTCAATTAAGAGAAGCAAGAGTCTTGCGAGCCACGGACATCTTCGTATGGGATGACGCGCCAATAGCTCCAAAAACATCGCTGGAGACTGTGGACATACTACCGAAAGATATAATGCAGAACTCGATACCATTCGGAGGAAAAATGAGGATACTCGGAGGAGACTTCCGACAAATACTCCCCGTTGTGGGGGAAGGTTCTCGGGCATCTGAAAAAAAAATCTGTTCTGCGGCATCATTTTCACGCGTTCCAACTTCGGCGAAACATGCGTCTAACCGACGACGATTGAACATTCCGAAAATTCCTGCTCAAAACCAGAGATGGACAAAGCCCATCAGATATCCCAACACCCGCCGACATGCATTGCGCCACGAACCGTCTGGAGCGGACAAATCCAATACACGAATTACCATCTGCTGCTTACCCATACGCTTTCCCTCCCGAATGTGTTTTCCGACCCTACAGAAGTCCGGCTCCTTAGCATCAAAAAACCAGCGGCAGGTAGTATCTTCGACACTACCGTTAGGCGTGAAAACGTCAGATACATCCGGTGTTGTTCTGCTTATATCGACTGACTAATGTTTTGAACTCGAAATGATTCATTCCCAATCAAGATAAAAATGCTTGAAGGTTATAGTGAAATTCCATTCTGGCTTGGAGGTCAGTCTTGTCTCAAGTAGACGGGTTCAACACTTCTTCAAATTCTTGGTCGGCGCCCTCTTGTTCCCACCACGTACGAAGCCGCATCTGAGCTGCTATAGCGTCGGCGCCCTCTTTCTGAATGATGGTGCTGCTTAAGGTTGCTAGCGATCGGTGCCCATCGTACTCCTTGACCATAGCGTTTTGGACCAGTATACTGGTTCCTCCGCTGTCCTTAAGCTTATTCACATGGTCATTCCACAGGTTCAAGACGACAATTTTTGACGTGAAAACGTCTTTAATTTCATCGACCATACAGATCGAGGGTACTTCGTCCTCTGCGTCACAAAAGTTGTAACTTTTCTCTGCCTTAGATCACGGAGACCCGGAAACGTGGAACTTTGTAGTTGGTTTCATGTGAACGCGAATTTACGGCATAAACTACCATTCTATTTTGGTATCAAATCACGACTTCTGAGACACTTTCCGAAGGCATTTCATGCACACCTCTGGGAGGCCTCCAATATGACATAAATAAAGGTTGTGTGAGATGTCTGAAGCTTATTTTGATTCGAAATCACTGTTCGATTTCGAGGGGGTTTTCAGTCTTCCAGGTCGCGTTGCATTTGCGACTCAGGGGGTTGCAGGAAGGATATATTCATGCGAAACATGAGATGTTCGCAATGGGGGCCGATTTGTTCCCCTCTCTCCTTTAGTCAGCGTCACCATCGTTTTCCCTTCAGGCTGTCGCCATGACACGAGAATCTCTGGTCGATGGGAGTACACCTCTCTGCAGCGGAGGGGTGCGAGGAGGTGAATTTCGAACAGATGGCGCGAATCATCTCGAAATTTGTGAGAAGAGTTCAGCTCGAGATGACTGGGAATTATGGGGAATCATGTGTGGTGTTAATTGAGCGCTCAATTCTGAACATCTAGATTATACTTCCAAAATCGAGTGTTTTGTCGGGACTCGGGACATAAACCTAGTGCCACTCAAGGGTTCTTCGTTATCATGGGAGGAATCCGTCGAGTTCATTACATTCTTGATTAGTGATCGTCATCGGCATTGATCATTTGAGATTGTGAATTTTCCATGATGCGGCCAAAACCGCCAGTAGAAGGCAAAACATACGGCGAGCGGAAGCTTCAGCGGGCAGGGCAGTGAGAAGGAAGAAAACTTGTGCTGAGAGGTCAGCTGAATATCGGAAGCGTCGCCGAGAGACTTCATCGGTCGTGTCGTGTCTCGTGGTACTGGAGCTGACGGTGCCCGCAGGGAAGTAAACGAATCTTGTCGGATAGGAGACATTCCTTGACTCCTCAAAATGCGAAATACCACCTGATAGCGATATGCTATCTCCGTTGAGAAAACGGCGAATACAGATATTCCACGATCACAAGTTGACACCGCAACTTTTCCTTACATTACTCTATAATGTAGAACTACCAAGTAATAGGAGTCGGAAATAGACTAGGAAGCCCTCGTTTTGGTTTCGACGGAGGAACATGGGTTAGATTTCGAAATCGGTCCACTTATTTTTAATTCATCCGGCGTAAGCCGCCTTCTCTTGCCTGAATCGTCTGCTTTGAATGCCTATCGAGCCTCATTTCAATGCCTATTCCGTTTCTTTTTATGCCCTATCTTCCAACCTCTATACATATACAACATAAAAAATCTATCTCATCTAATATATAGAGCAAAGTATTTGTGACTCTGTTTCTCCTCGATGCGCACCCAAACCGCTGGACCGATTCTCCTCAATTTTGTGCAGTTTCAGAATCACTTTCTTGTCTCTATCAGGTGGAATAGCACATGCGACATGCTGGTGCACTTCTTGCGCATCAGGAGCGCACTGCAGGAAATATTTGACCGTCAAGACCGTGAATTCCCGCTAACGAGAGAGCAAGTAGAGGAGCTAGACCACATCGTGGAAGTGCTGCAGTTGGTGAAAAAAGCAAGTATGGAGCTATCGAGAGAAAAGACGACCCTCCTAGATGCCGAACTTGAACGGGCCAAAGAGGAACGGGCTGTATTTTCCTGTTTGATCGGGAACCATGCCTGCCTGCCATTCCAGACCGAAATTCTCCCGATCGCGCTCGCCGTGTCCCGTGTGCCCGCGGCGATCACGAGGATATGCTCAGAGTTCGCTCCAAAGTCAGGTCTGTATCCGGACCTCTCGCTTCATTGTGTCTTCGATCTAACAGGTACTGACAACGATTTCAAGAGGGATGCCTCCAAAACGATCCTCAATCGCAAGGTCGACGCGAGGAGCACGACGGAAGGAACAAGTTTGTGCTCAAAAATCAACAGAGCGACGTGCAGCAAGATTGCAAGCAAAGCGCTCATTCGCCTCATTGACGCGCGAGCTCGAATCCGAAGCTGAACAATCCTCGTGTATCCAGGGCCAACGTGTCCGTACTGCGGTATCCCGTAAATTGTATTCAGAGGTGGAAAATGGTGCCTTCCGTAATGATCCTCCCTATGAATACAACACCCATGACGCCGTTTCCATCGGACGAATGGAAAAAATATGTGCGTTTTGCACCGCCATCAAGTTCCCGGGAGAAACGTTGCGCCTGCGCTGTTCGAATGGCAAGATAAAGTTGCAACCATTGAGTCCTCCGCCGAACCCATTGCTTTCCCTGCTCTCTGGAAACTCACCGGACTCCCAGCACTTTCTGCAAAACATCCGGAAATATAAGGCTGCGTTCCAAATGACATTGTTCGAAGCCACTAAAACCTTCCAGAATGAATTCAGGCTCAAATTCAGGGTGCGGCATCGTATATGTCCCGATCACGGATGCTTGTGAACCAGATGAGATATCGAAGGTCAGTTTGCGTCAAAATTCGAATATTCCCTTGCCATTTCACATGCGATAGGTGAGAATTTGGTGACCGGAAGCTCTGAGATTTCCAGAACGAAAAACTGGAAAAATTCGACTAGGCCTATGGAGCATAGGCCTAGGGCCTTCCTATGGACCCGTAAGAAACTTCGTTGTTTCCCGCAGCTGGTGATTTCTACAGCGGCGAGCTATCGGAACCGCACCGATTTCATGTGAACTGCGAGGGTTCATTCAAATTTTAGCGCGAACAGACCTTCGTTATCTTGTCAGGAAAAATTCTTACAAGCGCTGGGACATATACGATGCCGCACCCTGTATATCATCGAGTTGGCTAACTACTCCCTGTTCCCGATTCTGAACACAAATTCCTTCAGATCTATTTCATGGGCCAATATGATGTTGAGCTGGATCGACGCTGTAACACTATTTCCGGTTGCAGGCGTTCAATTATTACGGATTTGCAAAGCCTCTCCCTAGAGCACAATGAGCTCATAAATATGTTCGTTCAAGACCTCCATTGACGCCATTCTGACTGACAGCTATGCTATCCGAATACGAGCCGACAAAACGCGTCACAAAGTGCCCACCGCGAATGAAGTTGCAGTCAGAATAGTAGGTGAGCAACAGGACTCACGAGACATCGCGCTTCATCGTCGGAATGATACCCTCCGACGCGTCGCTGAAACCCATCGTTCATACGATGCGCTCCAGTATCCGATAACATTCTGGCAAGGCCAAGACGGATACCATGTAAAGATCCCGCCAACTAATCCCAACTCCGGTACGTGACTGAGCTACGATCCCATTCTTCAAGTCTATTCTCTGAGCTCCTGTCTATCGAACACGATCCTGAACTCATGTTTGCCGGCCTCCACTATAAGGTGACGAGCTCCCGAAGGAAGTCTCCGCCATGGATTCTCATGCTTACCGTCTGATGATCCGGTTTAATCAAACTGTTATATATTGAAGCGGCGCTGCTGTCGCCGAGTCATCCTTTATAAAAGGTTGCTCGGGTTCAGAATAAATCAGTCCATCACCACCGGTCTTCGTTATTCCGCTACAATATAATGCAATGCCGCCAGCTATTCCATCAGTATGTTATAGATATTTACGCGAAAATTGAATCCGAACGTTTGCTTTCCAACCGATCAAATCAGACTACCCTGCGTTCAGAGCAACACATACATTTACCTGTTGTCAACGATGGAGACCTCTCCGAGATCGGAGATAAAGTAATACTCCCGGCAACATTCACCGGCAGCCCACATCATATGCATGAATATGTCAGGATGCGATGACGTACGTCCGGACCTATGGCCGGTCGGACCTTTTCATCACATTCACAGGCAATCCGGCATGGAACGAAATCAAGCAGTTTCTTCTGCCCGTTCAACAACCGAGCGATCGGCATGATTTGATCGCACTCGTTTTCAAGCAGAAACTGGCAAAACTCACGGACTTCATTGTGAAGTACCAAATCTTCGGCGAGGCCCGCTGTTGGATGAATTCGATCGAATGGCAAAAGAGGGGCCTGCCCCATGCCCACATTCAAATTTGGCTCAAGACTAAGATCCAAACTTCCAATGTGGATGAAGTCATCAGCGCCGAGATTCCTCATCGTGTTTCCGAGCCTGCTCTGTTCGACATTGTCACGGAAAACATGGTTCACGGACCTTGCGGAGCCATTAACTCTCAATTACCATGCATGCCTGAAGGTCGATGCATAAAGAATATCCCCGGTCTTGCGTCCCAGAAACCATAACGGAAAACGACGCTAATCCGCAATATAGCCGTCGAGCGCCGGAAGAGGCGGGGTACACCGCAACAGTCCGCGTCAAAAACCGCGATCTGTGGAACGCGTTCAAGGAAGACCAGAGAGAAGACATCTTGCACCGTATCGGCTTCAAGAACCATTCAATTCAGTATTCGCAGAACATCTTCAACTCGGCTGTATTGCGCCACAACGCTCAAGTTCGAATCTTGTCGACCTCGACTTACTGGAGGGCGACAACACGACACTGACGATATGGTGTCGTTCATTGCAACCAACGAATCGCGTTTGCTCCCAGATAAGGAGAAAGCATATGAACGCATAAGGCATGCAAGGACGAAGAACAGGAGTGGATTATTCTCCCAGGATGCGCCGGGGTGTACAGGGAAGACCTTTCTGATCAGATTGCTTTTAGCTCAGATTCGATCACATGATGGAATCGCCCTCGCTCTTGCCTCATCTGGGATTGCGGCCACTCTGCTGTAAGGAGGCCGCAAAGCTCATTCAGGGCTCAAATTGCCTCTTACTACACATTCTGCTCAGCCTACAATCTGTAACATCTCGAAAAATTCCGGCGAGGCCAAACTCCTACAAATCTGCAAGCTCATAGTCTGGGACGAGTGCACCTTGGCGCACAAATCTTCACTCGGAGCCCTGCATCAGACTCTCAAAGACTTTCGCTGCAACGAAACTCCTTGCGGCGGAGTTTCGCACACAAACATGCGCGTTCACCTGCAGTGCGATGAGTCAGCTCTGGAATTCTCATGGGCCTTACATTCCATCGGGGGAGGGACACCGGCTCGATGAGACTCCTTGAAAACTTCGGCGTCATTGTACCATCAATCAAGATCTCAATCGAACGAGTCTTTCCGCAGATCCTCTCGGATTATATACATACCATGAATGGCTCAGGCAACGAGCAATATTGGCCGCGAAAAACCCGGACGTTAACGCGATCTACACCGAAATTCAGTGCTTCCTACCCGGGGATAAAGTCACATACTACTCGATAGATAGCGTCATGATAGCTGACGACGCCGTTAACTACCCTATCGAGCTTTCGAATTCTCTGGTCCTTCCCAGGGTCTCCGCCTCGTCAACTAGCGTTGAATATAGGCTCACCGATAATACTACTTCGTGGCCTACAGGCAGCTTCTTTGTGCAACGGCACACGACTTGCTGCGAAAACACTACAGCCAGATGTCATGGAGGCCACAATCGTCAGCGGTCACTTTAAAGGTCAAAATGTCCTCATTCCGCGAATCCCGATCGTCCCTTCCGACATGTCATTCGATTTTAGACGTCTTCAATTCCCTTGCCGCCTGGCGTTTTCAATCACCATCAATAAGGCACAGGGTCGAATACTGCAAATCTCTGGATTAAACCTCGACAATCATTGTTTCGCGCACGGTCAACTATCTGTGGCATGTTCGGGGGTTGGAAACCCGAATAATTTGTTCATATACTGTAAGGATGGTAAAGCCAGGAACTTCGTCTATCCCAAAGCTCTCGAATGAAACGTACTTCCATCCGGAAAATATCGCTAGAGGAGACCAAAATATCGCTTCACTATCATGCGTCACTGCATATTCGGCTTCAACCAACCTGTTCCAGGCGTCAGCAAGGTGCCGCTGGTCCCGGCTAGTAGAATATATAACATGGATGGATGATGGAATAATTGATATACATACAACTATAAGAAATCATTTATACATTTCATCATTCATGTCATCACTATATATTATGCTATAACAGATAAGTGCATCTCTCTTAAGGTGCGGCGCGACACACTCTGTTGACGCACGCCTAGTATCTCTCGGGCTCCTCCCCTCTGCATCTGATCACAGTCATCGGACGTGAGCTCTGCCAACTTGACGCGAGCGCCCTTCGGGAGATTCGTCTATGCTGAGTTCTCCGAAGGTCTCTCCTCTCCAACCGACACCGGTTGATGTCTCCGAACCCATTTGTCGAAGCAGGGCGGTACGAGGTGGAGGTCAGACTCGGAAATATTTTGAGCCGCAAGGCATGCCAGCGTGGAGAGTTTCGAGCCGAAGACCTTCCTGGAGGAACCGGTGGTGTCTAGTCCGCAGCAGATTTCGCTCTTCAGTCGAGCGAGGAATCGGCTATTGATCTGCCGAGACAAAATTCTGTTCAGCGCTGAAGGGCCGCGCTTCGTGGAGCCCGAGCCCCCGCTACTGTGTGTCCACCACGGCGACCTTTCCATCGCTAAATGGCCGGAGACGTCGAGATGTTGGAACAGCCGAGCGTGGCAGTCCGACGAGACCCGGAGAGAAGCCCCCCGTCTCAGGAGCTCGATTATTATTTTCTCCTCGAGATTACAGGTTGTTTCCTGTATAAAATTCATCTCCAGAATGGACTCCGCCACATAGCTCAGGAACAATGTCGCTGCGTTCCTCGGCATTATGTGGGGCGTCTTGAATAACACGTCGTGGAAATAGTGATGCAAGTGGAAGACGCACTGCGGACCGCCTTCTCGGAACACCAAGAGGAGCTCTGGCCATATTGCCTGCGAGCGATCGAAGTACTGATATACTTCCCGCACGAGGCCGATCGTCAACACGTATTGCACATCGACCGACAGTGCTGGGAAGTTCAACTTCGATCGTAAATATGCTGCGTCTTCAAGACTCATGCATTCTCGGTACAACCAATGCGGATTCCCGAGGGGCAGGCCGGGTCGGTCTTCGTACTCATAGATGCGGTCAGCCGCTAGCACGATCAGCAAGCATTGGGCCGCGAGCTCGGCGCAACAGCCACGGCCGACAGCCCCCTCCATATCTTCGATCTCTCGTAGCGTCGAGAATATGCGGCGTTGCAGGTGATTTTCCACCTGTCTGAAGAATTCCGGGAAACCTTCCATGGTGATTGCGTTCCGGAAATGCCTCAGCTGCCCTCCTTGCAACAGCCGACCCCCACGGAATGCGTTCACTTGGGTTGCGAGCTCGATGATGACCGTCATTGTGGCTTGGATCTCGACTGGACCGTTCCGGAAGACCTGAAAGGATATACTTAAGTGATCAGATTAGCAGACTAATGGAAGACGACCAGGAAATTTCCGCTACTCCAGTGGCACCTAGGAACGGATAACACCTCGCGGGCACCCGCCCACATTCCAATTTTTCGCCGCACGAAGAAACTGCTCATGTATCTCTCGAGCTCCGTATTCGGTGACGGAGCCATCGTTCCAAAGGATTCTGATACGCCGACCGCTTTGAAGTTTAGGACAATGGAATTTACATCGAGCTCTCGAGGTGACGCCATTCTCTGAGTAACCGGCTGCCGGACTTGAACCAGCGACTTCCCGCGAGATGCGGCGTCGATCCGAGGAGCGGAAGAGACCGGAGCAAATCTTAATTGGTCACGCAGATCGCTCTAATCGCTCGGCACTCCGATTAATTATCGGTGCCAATCTTGGGATGGCGTGACCACGGGCGACTTCGGGCATCGAGCATCGCAGCGTCGGGAGAAAAGACAAGTGCACGCTGCCACCGAGAGCTCGAAGAAAGACAAATCGCGGGACGTTTTTCGTTGCTACTGCTCCTCACTCGGGCTCATCAGCACGATGAGAAGAGGCCGCAGATTACCTCCCGGGCCGAGCGGGAATTTTCCCCGGCCATGGAATCTCTCCATCCGTGGATTCTGGCTCAAATATCACGGGAGCTCAGTTCATTCCGAAATACCGGGAAGATTATCGATCCGGCGATGCATCGCGGCGCGGACACTAGAGCTCGAGCGGGGCGAGTATGTCACCGTCCGCCGACCGACGCGGGGCGGCGATTCACCCCAAGCTCCGCCTGTCCGAGTAGACCGCTGCGTCGGGGTCACGAATCGTGATGCTCGTTCCGGAAGCCGCACCATCCGCCAGCTGAAGCGAGCTGCGGAACATGCTCGGAAATCCCGCAGATAAGCAGCCGTTTCCCCGGAACTCGCGGATGAGTGGGCTGCAGATTCTTCAAGGCCGCCGACAGTCGTGAAGTCGTATTGTCGGAGTTCATCGAAGGAGAATATCTACCCTAGGATGGCAGAGCTAATCCATGAGAGGCCCGTCCTCCGTACTCCTAATGCAGATACCGATTCGTTCAAGGGCGGGTGACGGCTATGTGCGATAAATAATGGATTGAGAGAACTAACCTTGAGCGATCGCTGAAGAATCGTCTAAAGGAGTGAGCAGACGTTACAGATGAAGGCTTGTGCCGTCTGAGAATCGAATTCACAACTCAAGTAAGCACGGGATACGTGTCGAGGAGTAGCGCTCGTAGCCAGACCGAGATTCGAGACCTGACTACGGCGTTTGACTGTAGATTGATGAACTCCGGTTGGGTTTGTCGTGAACCGGCGTATATTCCCTCTCTCACTTCGGATTTATCGAGTGTTGTAGAGTATGTCCTCCAAAGTCTCGACGCGGGAATACACCGTCAAGATAATCGATGCAAGAAAAGAGCCGCGTGAATTGAGCTTGAATCGGTGAGGAGCCGAGTTTTCTCATGTCGGTGACTGAGATGCGAGCAGGACTTCAAGGGAGAGGGAACCCGCTCGCTCGAGCGAGCTCTCGGAACGGCTCCAATGTTCGTCCTGGAAATATATGGATGGGGTCATCATGGTTCGCGGAAGCTCCGTAACAGATAATCTGTCTGTCAATTACGTTGTCCGAATCTCAACATTCATCTGACCCCGCGGCGCTCGGAATAATGCCGGCGCCGTCGATCAGAATATTAGTCGGGGAGAACCGAAGCGGTCAGATGCGGCATTGCTCGCTTGATTGATTGAACATCGCACCCCTCAATAATGATTGTGTATCGTGTTTGATGAAGACAATCTACCCATGCGGACCTTGGGGGGCAACCTAATGCGTCATACCCGAAAGCGAAAGTCTATATTCTGATGCATCAGGAGGGTTTTGTCTACGACAGTCGTAAGAGCGGCGCATCTCGAGTTTGCCGAGGTTGGAGACGATGAAACTCTTTGACGAA